TGGATTGTTGTTGGGGGCAATATGCTGACTCTGTAAACTGCTTAGAGAGGGCTGAGGAGAGCCTTCTCTGTGGCTGCTCTGATCCTCTGGAACGAACTCCCCGTGGAGATTCGAACCCTCACCACCCTCCAGGCCTTCCGCAAAGCCCTTAAAACCTGGCTGTTCCGACAGGCCTGGGGCTAAAGAGCTGTTGCCCCCGTCTCGAATGGTATGACTGTTGTGCGTTTTAAATTATGCATTGTTATGTGTTGTTGTTTTTTTTCTTTTAATTTTTGTCTGTATCCCCCTTCCCTGGTTTGAGTTGTGAGCCGCCCTGAGTCCCCTTCGGGGGAAAAGGGCGGCATATAAATATAATAAACAAACAAACAGAATCACTGAGGTCACTCGGGGGTTTATCTGTGCCCTCGGGGGGGGGGGGGTGTCACCTGAATAGTGAAAGTGGAAAGTTTTCAAAGACAAACAAGGCAGTCTGGTTGCCTTTTGAAAAAGCACCTTTGGGACACCTGGAGGATTGAGACTCTCCATAGGCACTCTGCTCATGCTCAGGATCTCTAAGGTGGTTCCGTCCATTTAATAAACAAATGTCATGAAATTCACTTGCTTGCTTTACTTGGACTTGCCGGAGTAGAGTAAGAATGTTCTAGGATGACAAGGTCGTTCTTGGAGGACGGGACGTCGGCGTCGCCCTCACCCACCTCCGGAGGAGCGCTTGGCTCAGGATCGGGGCGATTCCGTCGGGCGAGGGGCTTCCTCTCTTCTGAGCTTTCCTTTTGAGCCCTCTGCAAAGGACAGCAGGAGGGGAAAAAGGCATTTTGTTAGGCAAAGCGGAGAAATGCTGCTAGTCCTTGGCTTATGACCTCGTTAATGCTGTTAGTCTTCAACATATGACCTGCTAAATTCTTCTGGTCCTCAACACAATGACCTCAGGGGTGGGCTTCAAAAGTTTCAGCAACGGGTTCTCTGCCTGGTTGCTGGGTGGGCGTGGCAATGGCGGACGTGGCCCATTTGGCCACCTGCACCACAGCAGGAGGGGGAAGGATTTTCCCCTTCCCCAGGCTCCAGAGGCTTTTTTCGAGCCCCCGGGAGGGGAAAATTGCCTCCCCTGGGCTCCAGAGGCTGGAAACGGGCCCATTTCTGGCCTTCCGGAAGTTCCAGGAGGTCTGTTTTCCTCCTTCCTGGAGCCTCTTCAAGGGCCCTGCACTTACCTCGAATCCAAAATGGACCTCATGGAGACTCCTGGGAGGGGATGGATGGGCAGGGCCAGCCAGGGATGGAATTTGGAGGTTCTCGGAACTGGTCATAACGTTAGCTACAGGTTCTCCTGAACCCAGGCGAACCTGTAGCAGCCCCACCCCTGACGGACCTGCTTAATAAGCAGAATGACCCTATTTCCATGTTCAATTAGAGTTATAATTGAACCCGGAATTAAGATTATGCTGCTTGTTAAGCAGGTTGTCATGTGAGCAACCTGACTTTATACCTCTTTTTTTTGCAGTGGTTGTTAAATGAAGAGCATGGCCATTAAGCGAACCCATTGCCCATACAATGGGTATTTTTCGCCTGAGGATTATTTGAACAGGTTGACTTACCGCTGTTTGTTTAGTGACTGTCTGAACTTACAACGGCACTGAAAAAAAGTGACCTGTGACCGTTTTTCACATTTACAACCGTTGCAGCATCCCCACGGTCACATGGTTTGACAGCTGACCCATCTTTATGACGGTGGCAGTGTCTCNAAGAACTCCCTGGAGAAGAGCCTAATGCTGGGAAAGATGGAGGGCAAAAGAAGAAAGGGACGACAGAGAATGAGGCGGCTGGATGGAGTCACTGAAGCAGTAGGCGTGAGATTAAATGGACTCCAGAGGATGGTAGAGGACAGGAAGGCCTGGAGGAACATTGTCCATGGGGTCGCGATGGGTCAGACACAACTTCGCAACTAACAACAGAGAAACAGAGAAATCTGGGGGGGAAAAGCCCAAAGAAAACTAGAAGAAAAAATAAGACACAAAATTAAATATAATAAACAAATCCCTTGGCCTGAGAGCACAGTAATGTACTTTATATTCACTGATTATTTTAAGGACTTCCTGGATTTACACAACACTCTTATTTTCAATGAGGTGAGCGAAAACACAGCTTCGGTATTCTTAAAACCATATAATATCCTCAGAAATAAAGTACTGTAGAAAGTTAGCACCCACCCCTCTTAGAAGAATGAAATTTTTAAAGGAAATATTAAAAAGGCAGAATGCTACATTCTCCCTAAAGGAGAAACATGTTTCTTCAAGACAGAAACTCCCGTCTCTATCCCAAGTAGAAACTAAGGGCCCGACTTTTAGAAATGCAGATTTGGTTATCCATTCAAGACAGTATTAAAACCCCAAGGAAGCCAGCATCTAGGATCAATTATGTTTCTTAAACAAGATTTAAAAAACCCAACTCATTGATAATTAAGACTAATTAAAATCAAATCACAAAATACACAAAACAAAACCTCCAAATGACAAAACGATGTGGAACAAACTATATAAAAATCCTTATACTCATCAAACCAGGTGGTCAGCTGTCCAGGACCTCAAACCCATGTGGCCCTGTCCATCATCTTTCCAATCAACCTCCATGTTCCCAGTGTATTTCTCCCCACTGGGAACTGAACCAGGTGGATATTTCTTCCAACAGTCGGCAATGACTTAACAGGGTAACCCAAGTCACATCAGCTATTAGAACAATGGCTCTGTTTTCCAAATAAACCAAAATGTGACTGTTTGAAGCCAAGCATGGCTTGCTGGGTAAGAACAGTTTTGTTTTTGAAAAAGACAATCTACTGTATATCCCTTCCTCGCCTCGCCTGGCAGCCTTGTAAAATTTTATGTTTTGTTTTGGTCCATGAAATTTTATAGTTAGATACAATTGGGCTGGTGGAGCAAAAGTTGGAGTAAAGAAAAAAAACAAGTGAACCGGTTTATATATATGTTATTTGTGAGAGAGGTCTGTTTTCTTAGGCAAAAAGTTGAATCAAGCTGCTTCTTCCACTGCCATCAGCTGAGGTCACAGTATAGAGAAATATAACCTTCCTCTGGGGAAATCTGAATTTTAATTTAGCCAAGCAACCTTGGCCCAACGAGTCGGAATTGATCAAGTTCACAAGCGAAAATACCGTACACACTATAAAGGAGTCCTAAGAAATAAAAACCATGCCATTGAAGCCATAGATGTAAAAACCCTAGAAGGATACCTTAAACGCTCACATTTCAAATTAGACTTGGAAGTGGCTGCACCACGCACACACAAACACCTCTTGTGTAACCATGTCAAAGATGTGCGTCATATTAAACCTTCCCCTGCTCCGATGGGGAACGGGAAACTATTGAAAAACCATCAGCTTTTTTTTTTTCAATAGAGGGCTCTCCCCCCCCAATTGTTCACTTAATAGAAATTCACAATCATCTGATCTGTGAAAGGGACACTAACTTTTCTTTTTGTAGTATTGAAAGGTGTCAGCGAGCCATCACTAGAAAAAGGGACAAGAAAACCTAATTGTTGCAATTAATTTTCCTCTCCGCTCCCAATTCCCTCTCTCTCTCTCTCTCCCCACTCTCTCCCTCCACACAAACACACAACCCTCCCTCCACACAAACACACAATCTGGGGTTCCTTTCCGGAGCATCACAATAGTCGATTTGACACAGCTTGAGTTTCCAAGCAATAAACAACAAAAGCCATCCACCAACAGGCAAAAAGCTCAGAGAACTGGGAAAAACAAAGAGGTCACTGCACAGAATTACTCCTGGCACTCATGTGAAACCCGGTTTCAGGATGCCATGGCTGGATTCCCCAGGCCCCAACAAGCAAGCCACATTCCGGCCTTCTCACATGATCTTTTTCAACAATCAACTTTCCCAACAATAAAAAGCAAATGGGCAGGCGAAACTCCCTCGTGTTTTCTTGGCCTTCTCTCTGTATTAAGCCATGGGCCAAAGCATAGGGTCATTGTAGAAAATACCCCAGAGTCCTTAAGAATGCCAAATGCATGCAGATCCCCCAGCCAAATTAAGTCCAGTAAGATAACCCTTAGCCTCACTTTATTGTCAGTTTAAGTGTACAGGAATCAGCATACATTAACATGAAATGTGTTACATACAGCATCTCAAAGGGTCACCACCTCCAGTATATACTACATATGAACATGACAAAATAAATATACATCCATCCGTACACAATTATGCATATACCCACATATTTACGATACGACACAGAGAAACAACACAGTTTAGTTCGGATGGATATATATGTATATGGGGGGAGGAAAAAAAATCATTTCAAATGGGTTGAAATCTTGTGCCCAGCTAATTTATCGTAGCAGCAGCAACAAGAACAATAAAAAAGCCTTAAGACGGCCTAATTTAGCCAGTGAGGGGGTCCTTGGTGCTCTCTGAGCTGGCTTGTTTTCTTGCAGACGTTTCGTGACCACATTAGGTAATTACATCAGTGCTATCCCCAAAGGTGATTTTTTTTCAAGAGGAAGCTGGACTTTTTCAAGAGGAAGCTGGACTTTCTGTTTTTTTTTTCCTCTGAAGATGTTTCAGTTCTCATCCAAGAAGCTTCTTCAGCTCCTTCCTCAGAGCCGAACAAGCTTCTTGCATGAGAAATGAAACGTCTCCAAATAAAAACCAGAAAGACCAGTTTCCTCTTGGGGGGAAAAAAGCAGCTTTGGGACTCGGGATGACTGAGAATCTCCAGTGGCAACTTCAGTGCTAGTAAGGAGCGGGATTTGCTGTCAGTTTATATTCTGGGGACTTGCCTATATGTGGGTGGGTGGGTGGCATAAACGTCCCCTGGACAAGAAACTGCCAAGAAAGAAGCCAACAGCAAAAACAACCCAACCAAAGAATCTCTAAGACTCACCCAGATTGGGCAAATCCCCAGAATATAAACTGACAAGCAAACCCCACTTGCCTACCAGCCCTGATGACATTACCTAGTGTGGATTGTGAGACGTTTGCAAGAAAACAAGCTCAGGGAAGCACCAAGGACTCCCTCATTGGGCAAGTCCCCAGAATATAAACTGACAAGCAAACCCCACTTGCCTAGCAGCCCTGATGACGTTACCTAGTGTGGGTTGTGAGACGTTTGCAAGAAAACAAGCAAGNCTTCTGACAAGCAAAGTCAATGGGGAAGCCAGATTCACTTAACAACCGGGTTACTAACTTGACAACTGCAGTGATTCACTTGGCAATTGTGGCAAGAAAGGTCATAAAATGAGAGGTGGGGGGAGAAATCACTTAGCAACTGTCTTGCTTGGAAGTTTGGGGCTCAATTATGGGCGTAAATCGAGAACTACCGTATTTTTCGGAGCACCCTTTTCCCTCAAAAAAGAGGGTGAAAATCTGGGTGCGTCTTATACACTGAATACAGCATTTTTGGCCTCCTGAAACCCTGTCCCCTTTGCAAAAATGGATGTGCATAGCCTTTAGGAGGCTTATAGAGTGCTCCTGGGTGCTTGGGAGGTCAAAAATGAGCGAAAAACTGGCTGTTTTTCCTAAAGCCTCCTAAAGGCTATGCATGCCCTGTTTGTGACAAAAAAACGGGCCATTTTAGCAAAAAAACGGGCCGTTTTGGGGAGGTCTGCAGAGTGTGAAAACTTTTTTTAAAATTTGCCTCTTCAAAATCTTGGTTTTATCTTCTACTCTGGTGCGTCTTCTACTCCGAAAAATACGGTGCCTGTATTAATTTCCAGGATTTGAAGTTATTTTACAATATTCAACCGGCGTCTTTTCTTACAACATTCTTATTTTCACAGGACTTGTGGGGTGATATCTCTATTGTCTCTCAATTCCAATAGACTTTAGTTATTCTGACTTTCTAAATAAGTATACATTTGATTCCAATGAAATATCGGGACCAGAAATGAAGATGGGTAAATGCCAAAAGAAGGCACTGACCAGGCCTTGGTTTTTCTATCTAAGATAGTTAAAAAGAAACAATAAACTTCAGCAGAGGGGAAAAAAGCAAAATACAACAAAATACCTTGGCAGTGTTTAATCTTTTTGGACGGCCAGAGGTATTAAAGATAGTTGGGATGGCTCCTGGCTTTAAATTCCTTCTCCCAGAAGCTATCCTTCCCCAAAAATCCGTCTTTCTGAAATGTTCCGAACACACGACGTCATCATAAGAGGGAGCGAAATTCGGACGACCAATGTTTTTGATCCACTTGTTTAACTGCCTCTCCTTTGTAAAAGGAAACCTGCAGCAACAATTGAAAAACTGTGTTTAGAAGCAAAACAAATGCGCAGAGCTGCCAGAAGGCAAGAACAATTCAGAAAGTAAGGGTGACTTGGGAGTAAGGCTTGGAGATGATTAGGTAACTCGAATCTGGTTTTACTATTTCATCACTAGGGACTACTTGGGTTTCGATAATTACATCATCAGTTGGTTCTAATTTATTCCACCCCACGTGTTCCATGAACTTAGCACTTGCGCTACAGTGAACCTTAGTTGTGCCTTTCTCCCCAAATCTAAACAATCTATGGTTGGCCTCGTAACCTACGAAAAATAACTGTCGAGCTCTTTTCTGCCCTTTCAGTCTCACTTGTGAAGGAATATGTACCCATGCTGGGCCTTCGAATGTATGCATTTGTCATGGGGTTTAACATTATGATAAGCTGTGTTAGCCATCCGGTATAACATTCAAAACGTTTTCTAAAGTAGCAGTAACCCTGGTATCCTCCTTTTCAATGATAACAGATTTCTCCCCTAAAGGTTACCATATAGCCAATGTTAACCAGAGCCCTAACCGATAAAAGAGGAGCAAACAGATGTGAGCCTTTGCAGGAAGCAATTAGTTCGGTTCAAGCTCTGAGAAGTCCTGTTTGACCTTGCAAAACTAATTGGCAATTAGGTCTCTGGCAGCATTTCAAAGGAGATAAAGGTGGGTGCTTATCA